AATTGATAATTTCTCAAGGGCAATTCATGATCATTCAAGTCCATTCATTTCCATTTTAAACCAAATTAATCTATCCATATCCATTTTAACACCATGATTTTTTTTCACTTTAAATTCACATAACTCAATATATATTTTGCAATTACATCCATTCACGATCCTTTTTTTTAGCCATTCATAACCTACTTCTAAAGCCATGTCCATTTCAACCATAACACAAAATAATAACACAAAAGCCAAAATCCCATTAAAAAGGGCAAAAGTCCATTACAACAATCCACAAGCCCATTTACATTGTTATAATGATTATACAAAAAAAATGAAAAGTCCAATAACTCATAATACACTTGTAGCAAATCCCAAAAGTTGATTTCCAACCGTGTCATGTGTAACTCCCCAACCTTATGCTGCTACATCCTTTCCCATACCAACATGCCACAAATTCACACAAACTATATACAAGCTTCAAAATATCCCAGCCATTAAGCCATTTCCAGCAGCTTTACATCCAAAGCAATACTTCAACACATGAATCACAAAACATGAAGCCATCACGCCTATCACCAGGCCCAAGTCACGAGTCAGTAATTATCACACCTATAATTTTCAAGTTGACCTCATGTCCCCCCTGCAGTACCACATAACAAACCGTCACAAGCCATGAAAAATTATCATTATAATTTCACTACTACACAATGAACCAAAAACAAAGCAAGCCTACAAACCTTGCCTTTACAAGATGCAACAACGAATACCTCATTCCATTACACCACCAACACATAACAACATCGAGTTTTACGCACCCCACAAAAAATTTTCACCCTGCGTAAAATAACAGAACCACGTCACGAATTCCTTTCACAAACCTTTCCCCAAATACCCTCAAGACTCACTCTATAAATGGAATTTCTTTCTCCTTCATTCGGGGGAACATACCTTTAATTCCTCCAACCTTGATCTTTTCCCAAAACTTCACCTTTTCTCTTCATTCACAATAATAATCTAACTCTCTTCATCTTCCACCTCCACAAAAGAACGACCTTCAAAACCTTCAACTCCAAAAATCATCAACAACAACAAACTATCATTCTCACATATCAACCACAACTTTCACAACCCAAATCACCAATCAAATACTCAAATCAAAATAAAACCCAAAATCAAATTTCTAAACAGGAAGCGAGAGTTGAAGAAGAGATAAAGAGAAAAGATCGAAACCGGAAATCACAAATTTATACCCGAAATAAAACCTGACACCCATGTGAGAAACAAAACAAGGTTGAGTAATCGAGACAAATTCGAATTGAAGAAGGTTAGAAACAAAGCTACGTTTGTGACTCGTTGTGATCTCGTTGTTGTCTTCCTTTTCTAAATTCGTTTATTTAGGCCTTTGCGTGGTTTTTGTTTCTCAGAGAAAGCTATTGAACAAATGTAATGGTGTTTTATTTTTTTTAGAAAATGAAAAACGTGAAGTTATCCACTGCCATGACCTGGGTGTATCCGTTAGACTCTTTTATGCCTTTGAGGTTGTTGGGCATTATGACCTGGGTGTAGTTTACATGTACCCCGCTCCCATTCTGATGTACGCATTCATATTTGCTTTGATTATGGTTTATCTTCTAGGAGCACCCTGTTAGCTCTCAATTTTCGACGCTAGTTGATTTCAGAATCATCTCAAGTCAAAATGTCAATTTGAAACATGTGAACCTTTCGACACAATCAGGGAGCAATCCAAGTCGAAGAGAGGTTGACAAAGCTACTAAAAAATGCTAAGTGTTGGAAAGTGCTCGACAAGGGCCACGCTGAAGAGAACGCACAGAAGTTGCGACCAAAATTGGAGGGAAATATCAAGTGTTCAAAATTCAAACCAAGAGTGGGCGAACGTGGGAACGGTTGAGATAGTGGAAAAAGCGCCAAAAGGGACACGTTGTGAGGCCTCAACCGTCATTTAGTAGTTACTTTCTAGTACTATAAATAGTTGTTATTCTTATGTAATAAGTGTGTTCATTCATTTTATACTAGTCACTCCAAACAACTCAAAGTACCCGCGTGTAGAGAAACGAGTTAGCGAGAATGTATGTGATACAACACCAACCATTTTCCATTAATGCAATTTACTTTCCTTCAACCTTTATGCGCCTTTACTCATTCTGCACTTTAACTTTCAACTTTTACATTTAAACCGTTTTACAAGCTTTTTCTGCGCTTTTACCTTCAAAGATCCCCTAGTCGAACGTGGAGTTCAGATTAGAGTTTTTATGCAATTTAACTTTTCTGCACTTTTAACCTTTCGCCCATTTATTTTCAAAGCTATTTATCTTCCTGCAATTTAACTTCCAAAGATCTCAAAGTCGAACGTGGAGTTTGTCGCGGTGAAATTTGGATACCAAGCTATTGATTAGCTTGAATCTAAATTCATTACAACTGTTCTTTTATTTTTCCAAAGGAAGGGAAAAAGATCGAATTACCCACAATGCAATGCAAATGCAAAAGCTAGAGAGTTATAGGTTCTGGGTTAGTTAAACTTAGGGAAGGTGCTAGCATCCTAAGTTTCTGTAGTACTCTACAGGAACCTCTTGTTTTATGTTGTTTATTGCTAAGGGTTATCTCCTTAAAGGGTGAAAGACCTAGTGGTTTATTTCTAAGTATACTCGCCAAGACGTCGTATCTTGTACCTACATATCCTGACGGGAATGGAATCAGAGTAATTGTAGTTCCCCTAAAGGATTTGAGGAGTTCTTTGACTGTGGTCAAAGTTTGTAAGAGATAAAAGGTAGTTGATTGATTGATTTTAGGAGAAAAGATAAGTTGTCATTTTAAGGGAGATTACTTGATTTAACCACCACAACTTTGTAGGAAAATAGTCTTTGCATCGTCTTAAGAGAAGGGCTCAAGTACTCGGATTGTCAACAAGTACAACCTCTGTATATCCCCTACAATTGTAGGGATACCACACACTTGTACTTTTTTTACCAATAAAGAAGTCATCCCTAAATAAGGTGTTTGTGCCATTGCCAACTTTTCTAGATTACTATCAAGAAACTAGTTAAAAGAAGCATCTTAATCTGATTCAAACTGAGATATCACTTTCCACCAACTAGAAGTAGGTCTAAAACTAGCATGTCTCTCCCACCTGACAATAAGACCACTCGGGATCCATTTCTACCAAAAATAAAATGAATCTAAAAATTGTCACATGTATCATTTGTCAATACCATTAGCCAATCAATAAAAGATTAATCAAGCAGAGATCGCTAACCCACAATCCTCCTTTACACTTGATTTGCATATATTTGATCATTGAATTCAAGCAATCTTTGACAACTGTTAGACACTACCCCAGAGAAATCTCCTATATAGTTAAAAGTTTCATCTAAACAAAAAATATAATTTTCAAAAAACATAAATAAAAAATAGAAATGGAGTTGAGAGCAGAATTGATGAGAACCACTCTTTCATCCTAACTGACATACATGTGATCTCATGAAAAAGACCTTTTGAAAACAAGACTGATAAAAACTTACAAATCTATACTGCAAGATGGGATTATTCTATAAAAATAGTCTAATCAATATATATCATAAAACTTGTTGATGAAAATTAAATTTGTTAGAAAACATGTTTGATGACAAAAACTTACAAATCCATATTGTAAGATGAAATTATATAGCTACACAAAAACATACCATAAACATCATATAACATAGTTCAACAAAACAAAATCATTAAAAACATACAACTTTTATCATCAACATATCTTAAACAAAATAAATTTTTATCAAGAAAAACAAAATCATCAATAACATATAACTTTTTATCAACAACAACATACATTAAACAACATACGACATAGCTCAATAAAAACAAAAACATCAAGAATATAAATTTTTGTATTATCAACAACATACTTTAAAAACATACAACTTTTAACAAAAACAAAATCATCAATGACATACAAATTTTATCAATAAAAATGTGAAGAGAAAGTGAAAGGTGGAAACACTTACGAACCTGAAATGTGAAGAGGAAGTGAAAAAATGAGTTTTGTGTAACACCTTTTCTTGATCCATAAGAATTGAAAAAGATATGTTAGATTTTTGTGAAGAAGTGGTATGCAATCATTCATGCAGTAATGATAAGACATGAGAGAGTGTTAGAGTTTTGTTAAGAGAGAGAAAATTGTTTTGTTTTAAAAGAGTAAACTTATGCTTAAATATAATTTATACTATTCTCACGATTGATAACAACTGTGATTAAATGAAGGTACATTTTACAACGATTACTATTTTCGACTGTAGTGAAAGATATTTTATTTTTAATATAATTATATGTAATGACTTGCATATTTTGTTTAAAAAAAAAAATCGCTGGTGTTGAGATTCAAAGCCTATAAACTTTAACATATTACTACAATTATTCATATAGACCGCAGTAGAATATATATTAATAAAATAAATTAAAATACAAACGCCTAAATAAGAATTATTACTTCGATTGATTTAATAACCGAAGTATTAACATATTACTTTAGATGTACTTTATAATAGTGAGGAATTATTCTATAGAAAATTGTTTCTATTCAAAAAGAGTTCAAACATCTCCGAATCAATTATATTCGTCTGGATTATTTTTACATGCAAGTGTATTCAAATAGAGATGAAGCTGTAAATGTATCCAAACATTCTTGAGAAAGCATAGAAGTTGGTGTGTTTTTCTTAAACATGTATGATAACCCCTAGCTAGCCCTACTCCATATGTTAAAGTCATTTCATTGCAATGTCAACATCTAAAGTACAAAGAAGGTAATGTATAATTTGATCATTTTGGTTTTGTATTTACTATGTGGTCAGTGGTCACACATTTATACTATCACAATAGCTTCACAAAAGATCCTTAAATTGTTCTACCATTTCCACATTTCAACTCACATTTCTCACTTCTCTCTTTCTATCTCTCTCCCTCATATACCTAGCCAAAGAGGGAAGATAATTCAAACCAACATGGTACAATCAAAGAAGTTCAGAGGTGTCAGGCAACGCCACTGGGGCTCTTGGGTCTCTGAGATTCGTCATCCATTATTGTATTAACCTCACACTCTAGTTTATCTATTTTTGTTCTTCATAAACTTTTGATAAAAAAATATATTAATGCATGTTTATATTTTATATGGTGGTGTGAATAGGAAAAGGAGGGTGTGGTTAGGAACATTTGAAACAGCTGAAGAAGCAGCTAAAGCATATGATGAAGCAGCAATTTTGATGAGTGGAAGAAATGCAAAAACTAACTTTCCAATTAATATGGAAAATAAAACCAATTCTATTTCATCTTCAAGTTCAAGTTCAAGTTCAAGCTCTTCAAACGCATTTTCTGCGGTTCTGAGTGCAAAATTAAGGAAGTGTTGCAAGTTTCCTTCACCTTCACTCACTTGCTTGAGACTCGATGCAGAGAATTCAAACTTTGGTGTGTGGCAGAAAGGTGCAGGTCCTCGTTCAGAATCAAATTGGATTATGATGGTTGAGTTAGAAAGGAAAAAAAGTGATTCTGTGGAAGAGAAAGTAAAGCCAGAAGAGGACTTAAGTAACAAAGGTTTGGATGATGAACAAAAAGTTGCTTTGCAGATGATAGAAGAACTTCTCAATAGAAGCTAAATCAATGCTTTCACTTTCATGTGTGGGACTCACTGAAAAGAGTTTAATTTGAAGTTGCATGATGTTTGTCCTTGTCTTGGTTTGATTGTCCTATGTAGGAGTGTGTTTTATGATGATTCATATGTCGTGTTTTACTGTTTACCACATGTGTAACTGCCTATATCCTAAAGCTGAAATTTTATGTTCTATATTAAAAAAAGCTATATGTCTAGTTAACTAATTTGGAGATGCCCTATGGTTTCATTCCATGCATAATTTCTTCTTATGATTTTAATGAAGAGAAAAGATTGTGTTCTTACATCTCTCTCATGTGCTTCATCTTCATCTGGTCCTCATTTCTGTCATTCATCCACCAATCAATATTGTTGATGATATGATACTCTGATGGGTGGTTGAGATTTTGATTACCAAAATATGTTATAAATAGTGGATTTTGGTTTTTTAAGTCTATTTTTAATGTTTAAGTTTCATTTAGTTGTTGCTTATACTAACAATTAGCAAGGTATGTAGAAAATGATGGACTCTAAATTTCCTTTGGAAATAAACAAAACCTATTAAATGAGGAAAAAGATTATGCGAGCACTCATCCTACTAGGAAATGAAGCCTAGAGTCAAAATCAAGCAACAAACAAGGAGCAAAGCACAATCACAATCATAGGAAGTGAAGGAAACAAAGTCCTAACACAATCTCAACACTTAAACAAGTGGAGAAGCATAATTCTCAAGTGACTTGTGATGCAAGTTAAACATGCCATTGACCTCTAATCAAGCAAGGCAACACTTCAAGCATGTTAGAAATATGTAACAAAGCTCAAAAGGTGTTTAAGGGATCACTCATGATCATATCCCAAGAATTAGGTCAAGACTAGCAAGCATAAACAACCCTAAAAAATGACTTGTCTTGCAAGATTCATTAAAAACAGGAAAAAGGCTCAATAAATCCCAAGAAAATTGCACAAGCTACCCAAGTCAAGTGAAAAATAGTAGCCAAAACCTCAAGTCATAATTTCACTCAAAGCATCACCAAACAAATCAAAGATTGATGGTGCTCCACTTTATCGAGCATGAATCGAGGGGCAACTAAAGTCAAAGCAAAACCAATTGAAAACTGATTATCAATGGACCATATCAACCCTCAAAGGAACCTCAATCCCTCACTTAGGTGAGGGAGAAGCCGTGGCCATAGGGAATTTAAAATTGGGGTCCAAATAAATCATTCAAATTAGGGTACAAGGCAAAACACACTTTGAATCATTAAATCAAAATAAAATAGCAAAATAAATAATAAATAATAAATAAAAATTTGGAAAATTAAATAACATGCTAAAATGTCAAGAAAATATTTTTGGGTATTTTTATGATGTTTGGAAATATTTTAAAATAATTAAAAGCTAAACAGCAAATAAATAAAATAAAATAAAGAAATAAACAAAGGGTGGGGGTGCATTAGCAAACTGGATTTGAACTGAAGTTAATTGAAGTGTGCGCATGGGCCAGACACGGGGGTAAGAATAACACAAATCTTAAGCTCATCACTTAAATCCAGCAACTAAACAAAAAAAACCACAAAACTGAATAAATGAAACGGGGCGTTTTACTCAACCCTAACGCCACGTCATCCCCCCTAACATTCAGCCAAAATGAAAAATCCACCATGCATCGTGATTTTCAGCAAATGGACCCAATACTTCCAGCCATCATATCTCCTCTATGACTCAACCAAATGCAAAGGTTCAAAGGTCAAAAATGATCTATGCAACGCAAAGAATACAACCATACCAAATATATCCATAAATGAACACTCTAAGGCACAGAACATTTAACCTAAAGGTATGGGTCCAAGTGAAAAACTTAACATATAACTCAAACAAATATCAAACAGAAATAAGTTAATAGCTTCAAGAACCTCGAATACCAAGCATGAACATTATTTTTACATCTTAAATCATTGCAAGCATGAGCAGGAATTGAGAAGAGTTTGGAAATTCTTACCTAGTGGAGAATGGTCCACTGCCTCTTCCACACGAGCTGGGACTTCACCAAAGAATGCAGAATCAATCCTTGACACTTGAGGGAGCTTTAGCTTGGTTTGAATGTCTCTGAATGCCTTTCTAAAACTCCACACAATTTTGAGCAGTTGGAAAGCAAATTGTCTACAGTCGGTTTTTAATGCAAACAGGGGAAAGAGTGTGTTGTAATGATGATGTTTTGATGGAGAACTTGTGAAATGGCTCAAAGAGGAGTGAGCTTCGAAGGTTTTTCTTCATAGGTTGCAAAATATCAAGTTATGGTATTTTGCTCAAATGGTGGTTTGGGTTGTTCTTTCTGGTTGCAGAATGACTCTCTCTACCCTAATGCTCAATATTTTCCTTTTATATGAAGCCCTTATATGGTTGGCAGAAATATTTACCACGGTTAAAGTCTTGAGTAAAACCTCATGCAAAGAGAGAGAGAGGCACAGGTTGCTTAATATAGTTGTGCACTATGGTTTCTTTTTGGTGTGGTTAGAAGGACAAAATAGAGGGAACACTTTGCTGTGACAATTTTGTTCATGTCTTGTTTTGGTAACACAATTTGAAAATATGCATGGGAGGTACACAAGATGTTTGACTTGTTTGGGTAATGGTAGGTTTTAGGCGTGTAATTTGTGAGAGCATGAGGCTGCATGAAGTAGTGATCAAAAGTGTGCCGAAATGTTTCATGGATGGTATTTTGCAACAGCTCCAAGATGCCCTCTTCAAGCCATCATAAGTGAATGAATACTCAAGCAAATGATGTGATGTTTGAACAAGAAATGAAGATTGTGTATCCATGAACAACGCTCATGTTGAGATGAATTTGATACAAGGCCAAAAATGGTGTGAAACGTTCACTTGAAAATCTGTCCACAAGAAACTATTCTCCATACTTAGTAAAATTTCACTAAGTTTTCACACTTGCCAACTTGAAAACCCTACCTTGAGAACACCATAACTCATGCTATAATGGATGAAAAGTTAAGTTCTAGCCATGATTGAAAGGCTTGAAAGAAGGTCTACAACCACTACAACATTTTTACTCTATAGCAACGCCTAATTTTCAGGAAGTAAAAAAATTGTTCTCGTAGAGAGTAATAGGCAACTAACTATATAATTTATTGCGGTAGCATATTTAATTTTTTGTAAATTTTATACAACGGCCCGAAACCGTTCTGGTAGAGGACAATGAGAACGGATCCTATTAGCAACGGCTAGAGCTGTTCTTATATAATTTTTAATTATTTTAATAAAATATTATTTAATTTCTCATATGTGTATACTTTTCATTCTCCCGCCCAAATTGATTCTTCGTACGAGCTTCTCTCAAACGATTCATCATACGATTCATTGTCCCTCCCAAATACGAACTTCATCGTATGATTCATTGTCCCTCCCAAATACGAGCTTCATCGTACGATTCTCTCAAACGTACGAGCTTCTCCTTAACCCTAACATTCATCCCAAATTGATTCTTCATCGTACGAGCTTCTCCCAAACCCTAACATTTTTTTCTTCATCCCATATTGATTCTTCATGGTACGATTCTCTCAAACCCTAACATTCATCCCAAACTTGTGTGTGTGTAAATGTTCTCCTTCAACTTTCTCTATTTTCTGCCGACAAATCTAACGGTTTTGTTTTCATAGGTCTCAATTTTCAAACATAATAGTGCGCAAGTTTTCAGCGGTGTGCGAGTTTTCGGTTCATCCTGGTAAAAAGGTAATGTTTTATTCTAAATAGAACTCAAAATTGTTTCTTAGAAAGTTTTAAGCTTGGTGATTAGTATAATAGTCATACTAAAATATTTATGAATTTTTAAAAAATTTTACTATCAAGTTTAAACATGATTCTGTGAACTTTAGGACTAAATGTATGTTTACAAGTTTAAACAGAACTCAAGAAGTGTTTTCAAGATCGACCGTTAAGAAGGGTGAGATCGAAGCGATTGTGTATGCAATTGGTGTACACACGTTTTTCAGTAAAGCGACTCATTTGGTTGATAGTACTAACCAAGTCGGGCATTTTCAGCAAGTGCTTACCGCTATCGGAAATTTTTGCATTTGTTCAATTGCTGTTGGAATAATCGTTGAACTCATTGTGATGTATCCACTTCAGCATCGCAAGTATAGAGACGGAATTGATAATCTTTTGGTGCTTTTAATCGGAGGAATCCCGATTGCAATGCCAACTGTTTTGTCTGTTACTATGGCTATTGGTTCTCATAAGCTTTCACAGCAAGGTGCAATTACAAAGATAATGACTGCTATTGAAGAAATGGCAGGCACAGATGTTCTTTGTAGTGATAAAACTAGAACTCTCACTTTGAATAAACTTAGTGTTGATAGAAACTTGATTAAAGTGTTTTCTAGGGGAATGGATAAGGATTTGGTGATACTCTTAGCAGCAAGAGCTTCTAGGATAGAAAATCAAGATTCTATATATGCTGCTATTGTTCGAATGTTGTCTGATCCACAAGAGGTAAATATCTAAAATCAAAATCTAAATAAATCCCTTTTTTAGAGTAAATCAACATTTTAGTCATAGAAATTGTAATGGTTGTGATTGATTATTCAGTTCAGGCTAGAGCTGGTATCAATGAGGTCCATTTTTTGCCATTCAATCTCGTTGATAAGAGGACTGCCCTTACCTATGTTGATACCGAAGGAAATTGGCGTAGAGAAAGGAAGGGGGCTCCTGAGCAAGTAAATACGAGTTTCGTTTTATGATGTTTCATTTTATTTTTGTAAGTAGGAATTGAATTCGGTATCTTAGGATTGACAACATCCGCGCAACTTGATCATCATCAACCTGCACTAGGCCTTAGTGGTATCTTTGTTATGATTTATAAGATAAAGACTAACCAAGTCATGTTTTTATATTGTGTTAGATATTGGATCTTTGCAACTGCAAAGAAAACATGAGGCGAAGCGTTCATGCAATGATATACAAGTTTGCTGAGCGTGAACTTCGATCATTAGGTGT